TCGGTCATACATCCAGTCAGCAAAGGATACCCAATCACCGAAGGCTGTACTATATTCAAACACTTAGAAAAATTCTTCTAAGTCCTAAACACCTCGCCTCCGGTTATCTCATGAAGGCTACACAGAACCAGAGGGAAGGAATTAGCCGAGGGCCATCGGATGAACAAAACACTTAGAAATATTTCTAAGTCCTGAACATTGTGCCCTCGGTGAAATGTTCAGATAACCAAATAGGCCCAGCAGCCGAGGGCTACGAGAGGCATTACACTTGGAAGAATATATTCTAAGTCCTAAACGTACATTCAGAAAAGCGAAGGCATATATTCAAAGAAGGGCGAAGGCATACATTAAGAAAAGGCGAAGGCATACATTCAAAAAAAACGAAGGCATACATTCAAAGAAGGGCGAAGGCATACATTCAGAAAAGGCGAAGGCATACATTCAAAAAAAACGAGGGCATACATTCAAAGAAGAACAATCGGAGGAAACGAATTATACATAAAAGCCCGAAGGCCGGTATTCATTCATAGGAAGAACGGAAGAGTTAAAGTATATATTAAAATATGGCCGAGGCCGAGAGTACACAAATATTCATTACAAACAAGAAGAAAAGGTGTTCAAAAGCTACTAAGTACAAGTGTTTTCTTCAGTTGTTGCCTCCTCGGCGGGCTTCGAGGTGACCTCCTCCTCGATGGCGTCTTCGGCATCACCATCACCGGATCCCCCCATCATCATGGAGTCATGGATCACAGGCCTCTCTTCGCCCGGGGGGAGGGGGTTTCTCACGTCTGGCTGCAGAGGAGGAAGGCCATACGTCGAGGGGTCAAATTCCTCGAGGGAGACTTGGAAGTGTCTGGATAGCCTCCGGTACACAAGGTGCTGGGTGAAGAATTCACCCCCTTGGTAATAACTGTCTCCTCTCTCCGCCATCCAGTCTCCCCCGGGGCCCTTCACCCAGTTATCTACCGATGACTCCACGACCGAGGCCACCCACTGCTGCCTATCTTCGGCTTTCCAGCCCTCGGCCATAAATGCGGCAACAGCTTCCTCTCGGGCTTTGGCGACGACCTCGGCCTTGGCAAGCTCTGCCTCCTCGGCGGCTTTTCTTTTTGGTGGCCCCCTCTGCCACCCCGGCAACTCCCTCCGCAGCAGAGGGTTCCGGAGTCTCCTTTTGAAAGAAGGCTCCCACAGGCGGTTGGACCGAGGGGTCCTTCTTCTGGGCTTGGACCTTGCCCTTCTTTTTCTTCAGAGCGAAGAGTTTACCAGCGTCCATGTTCACACCTGCTAACAAAAAAAAGGAGGGGTCAGACCGAAAGAAAAAAAAGAAGAGAAAAAAAATCCTAAGTACAAAACAGGAACCCCTCGGATACTACCTCCTGCCAGCACAGGATATTTCTCGTCAGTTTCGCCGAGGAAGCGATATCTGCGGAAGCCGAGGGCGAAAAGCTCCTTGTCGGCAGTGAAGTCCATAATGGACACTTGCTTCGTACGACCCTCCGGGATCTTGGCTATTATCAAGCCATCCTTCTCCAGAGCAGCACTTCCAACCTTCGGATGCCGACGGAAGCGATCCCGGAGTTCCCTCGGAAAGGGGCTCTCGGCAACTCTGACGTAGCACCACCGCTCCTTCCAACCTTTGTTGGACGAGGGCGCTTCTGTGAATAATTTCCACCGGGCTACCTGTTGCAGATTGGCGAAACCCTCGGCGTTCGCGTGACCCCCTCGACAGAGGTTGAAGCTCTGAAACAACAAGTCCAGGCTGGGGGTCACCCCTCGGGCCCGGCAGAGATTCAGGAAGCCCGCCACGTAGGAGTGGCTGTTAGGCGTCAACTGGCAGGGGACCAAACCCACATACCGAAGGTATTCCCGAAGGAATGGGTGCAGGGGGAACCGGAGCCCCATCGACACCGATAAGATGTGCACGACAATGCAACCCTCGGGAGCCCGGGAAAGCACGTCATCAGGGCCTGGCGCCACCACCACAGCCGAAGGCCCCACGTGCAGCTGAGTCACGTACATATCTTCCATGTCAGCCTTCGACCCTATCTCGAGGGCAGCAGTATTCAGCCAGGAGTACCCCTCGGGAACATCTATGGGCTTCCCTTGATCAGCAATAACGCACTTCTTCTTGGGAGCAGTTTTCTTCTTCTCCTGTTTTTTCCTGGGGGCCACTCTTATCAGCGTCGGGTTAAGGGGCCGAGAGCTCCTTGCCTCACCAGCACCCCGAGGGGGAAGGACGGCCACTGTCACCTTCATCCTCTCCTTTTCTTCCTCCTCCTCTGCAACTTGTACGACGAGGGCAAGCTCTTCATCCTCCGCTTCTTGCTCGAAGCCCTCGGCTTCAACTTCAGCCACCAACTCCTTCTGCACCTCCATCGCCATCGCGACATCCTCTTGGGCTGAGGGCTGCTCGCTCGAGGACCCCGCATCCGAGAAGCTTTCCTCTTCCATCGAGGGATCCCTCGATATGTCCTGGGAATAACTTTGGGAAGACATCTTTCCACTGGTTCCAGGGCTCGAAAACACTAAGTTTTCTAAGTTACAACTCCTAAGTCTAAGGCCGCTAGGACAGCTAGCTAAGAGGGGAGAAGGACAAGTGGGGAATTGACCTTAAAGCAGGAGTTAGATCGAGGGCAGTGTTTCTCTCTCTAGAAAAAATCCGACAGAGCTTCGCTAACAAATGATCGCACAAGAGGAGTGGTGTCCGGCCATGGGGTATTTCTAGGCACTGGGATCCGGGTTTGGGCCTGGAAACCGGGCCTCCGGTTGGACTGCCATCATTACAAACCGTGGTTTCGCCCAATCGGTGACAACCGCCCACGGGCAGCCAACGAGCGCACACCACGTGGCAGCCCCCCCAACGGCTATATTCTGACGTTAGATATTCCAACGGCTATATTTCCAACGACTATATTCTGGGAGCTCCCGGCTACACTTGACAGACCACTCCTTCATCAACCAATAAACTAGCCCCCGGGCTTTTTACTTCACCCCACTTCATAACCAAGAGCTCCCCGGGTACATTTACCCAGAGACGCTCCCGGTTTGTGCCCCACACACTACATACCAGATGCCTTCGGGCTCACTCTTTCAGAAGCCCACGGCTTCGTAATAGGCCCATCCCTCGGGGACCCCCCCTCAGCACTTTGAGGGCCGGGTAGCCCCAAGGGAGTACGCCTCATTGACGGACAGCCTACGACACGCAGGTAACGAGAGCCCTCGGATACCCTCCTCACCAACTAATCAACAAACAGGGGACACCCCGGTAACACTTCAACCACTACTCGCATTCATTACGCCCTCGATCCCCAGATTGAGGGACTCCCCTTCGGCACCTCCCAGGATATCAACAGCAAGCCTCCGGCTGATCAACACATGGGCCCTCAGAACAAGGAAAGCCTTCGGCATCAGCATTATTCTCCATTTTGAACCAGGGCTTCACATTTTCGATTCATCGTTGGGGGAATTCGGTGCACTCTTTTTCCCTCATTAGGATTTTTTCCCACATGGTTTTTCCTAATGAGGTTTTTAACGAGGCATCCCCCCAAAATGAAACAAAAAGCGTCAGCCTTCGGCCCAAAACAGCAACGCAACTACTCTACTCCTTTTCACCACTTTGCAAGTGCATCAAGGAGTGGGGGACTGGAGGACCCCCTCGGGAAGAATCACAAAAATCACAAACATGACCCCTCAAGTCTCGACATGTGGGTAACTGAGGGACTGCCCTCGGCAGAATAAACAAACAACAAACTACCCACAACACCACAAACTATAACGGAACAACGACAGAGGACAAACACAATTACTCCTTTTCCCTCAAGTACCTTTCGGCAAAAGGAGTGAGGGACTCCTGATGGAGTATATGGCCCGGGAACCCCCGGCCCACAGACTCCTACTACTCCAATAAAGGCCCAACAGGCCCAGAAAGCACAATCGGCCCAAATCACAGCGCCCAGAGTACCGAGCAGCCCACAATGTGCACCAGGGGTGCCTTCGGCCCCCTGACCGAAGGCTCTAATTCTCACAGGAGAGCCAAGACAGGAAAACAAAGTTACTGGGAAAAACGGCGAAAATCAGTAGCCCTCGGCAACTGGAGCCCTCGGCACTAAGAGGGTCAATCGGTACTCAGAGCCCTCGGCTAGTCATCTACTGCTGAGGGCGCCTTTTCCGACATAATATCCGCTCCACATGCGTATGGATCACCGTACCCTGTACAACGTCCCATCCAACAGCCGCATTAAATGCGGCCACATGCGGTTGCCAGCGCCAACCAGTTGAGGTGACCTCTCGGCCAATGGACGCTTGACATGTGTCCCTGTCCGGCATTTATTGCTACTATAAATAGCACCCCATTTCCCCATTTGTAACCAAGTCGTAAGTCACAAGTCGTAAGACATACAACACGCTGCATACTTTCTAATATACTTTCTCTCTCTATACTCACTTGCTCTGACTTCTCTCTAGTTATTCCCCGTAATAACCCCTCGGATAAGCTACCCCCGGGTACACTATCCATCACACTATATCCGGGTTTGGGCCTAACCAAGCCCAAAACACGATCTGACCAAAGGAAATGGATTAGTTATTTAATTGGGCCTAGCCCATCAGCCTTAAGGCTCAAGCTTCTTGTGAGCGCCTATAAAGAGGCCGTCCATTTTTTGTATGAGGGACTTTTGACTTTTAAAATATCGAATTGTTGCCGGATTCTCTACTCAACTTATTTTCTACCAACAATAACCAGAGTAACAACCTAGTTAAATTCAAAAATAAGAAAATAAAATGACACTGCATTAAACTGGTGAGATATTGTTCATGTTTTTTCAAACTACTGCATGCATTAGTTTTTACTAGAGAATTATTAAGTCTTCAAAACTTGAGAGTAGAAAAGTTAAAAATGACTCCCACGTCCCATCTTCTCAAATAGGTGGAGGTATTGTTGATGTTTTCTAAACTGCTTTATAATACAGTGGCATTTGTGTATTTAAATCATTAACCCGGGGTAAAACCGCAACGACCGGGTACAAGGCAGGCGCAGTGATGCGAGCTCCAATGTGGATTTAAATATGATTAAGAATCGTTTCAGATCCGCAGTTTCCGGTTTCTATAGCTCCGACGCTTTGCATCCCATGCCGCTTCGAAATTCACCAGCATACATTTCCTGTTCCACATAAACTGACAGACGACAGGGAGCAAAACTTTTAGATTCAGAGGGGAAATCGAAGCTTAGAGATAAACCTCACTCGCACACTGACCCGTAGTTGAAGCCTGAAGGTGACTCCTGGATCTTCGTTTGTTCCACAGTTATCATCCCTTCATCCTGCTCATCAGGTAATTTTTCATTCAATTGTTTCTCTAGAAGCGCATCTCTGTTACGTTTCCCTTCTATACGAATCGGTTATGAAAATATTTTAGTTTTTAGTAAGTATTTACTCGAGAAATGAATCTGAGGTTTTGTTTCGTATCCCCCTTGTTTTTTATTGTTTTGATGCGTAGATCTAAAGAGACTGAAGAGTGAGAGTGGTGCTTGTAGATATTTTTACGTGCACGTATATGATCGAAGAAGGACATGCTATTCTGATCAGGATATGGTGGTTGTGGAGAAGATCTAAGCCCCAGACTCTTTGTTTCTTAGCATTTGTTGACTGCAAGTGCCCGATCTTGTGCTGATCTGACAATCGCCTTTGTTTCCAGTTCCTTTTTATCAGATATTTTTCGATCTTAAAGTTTGCACCAGTGGTTAAGCTAGATCTTGTGAGTGAGGTTAGGATCCGAGCCGACTCGGTTATTGGATTCAGATGGAGACACTCGTTTTAGTTTCTGAGCACAGGAACGAGTACTATAACAACCAGGCCAGGGGACATGGCGGTTTTGGTTTTGGGCCCTTTCTATCACCGCCTTCTGGAAGCTTTAGGGAGATAAGTTGCCGTTCGTTCTATGCAGGATCAGGTTTACTCCCAACGCCGTTAAAGTCATACTCAACTCCGATCACAAAACGATCACGTTCCTCTTCAGCTTCTTTTTCACCTAGGACACCATCTCCATCTGTAAATCCAACCAACGATCAGAAAAAAAGGATAAGATCTGTTAGAAGTATTGCGATACCAATTGAACTCAAAGTTAGGGATAGTCCTAGGAAGGTTCATTCTATGAAAAAGGACTTTCATTTCTCAGAGAGATGGGCGGGTCCCACATACTCAAACTCACCTCCTCCCAGTTCTTTACCAATTCCAAAATTTTGTTTGAAACCTAAAAGGTCCGTTTCTCTGGATTTACCAACTGCAGTTTCTGCTTTTGATTTTCACCCCATTGCTCTTTCAGCACCGACCTCCCCTACCAGGGAATGGAGCTCATCTTCAGAAGATATGTTTGACCTTGATGACTCAGCTACGAAAACCCTCCGTCGCATTCTCAACCTTGACATTGCGGATGATTGAGGATCCTGGGGAAGCTAGACCTCCTTCCCCAACAGGGAGTGTATCTAGTTTCTGAAGGAAGTAACCATAATTAGTGTATATATGGTGAATAAAGAATCAGTTACTCCAACTGATTCTTGTTTGTTATTTGGTTTTTGTAAATGGTCGTAAAGAACAAGGGCATACCCTTCAGCAAGCAGTTGTTTATGTGTTTCAAGGGCTAGAATGGCTGGCTGATCAACTATCTTCAAAATTTTCATGCTCTGTTGTGTCCCCTGGATGGATACAAGCTAGATAAGTGTTCTGGGGAGTGAATTGGAACTGGCTTCTGAAAGTTACTGGTGGTAATCTGTTGCTACATAGCTTTTAGTTCTTATGATTCAACTCTAATGAAATTTCTGCAAGCTTGCAGAATTGCACAGTGAAAATCCTAAACCACAACCCTCTTTAGAATGTCAAATCTGATTGCCTTCTTTTAGTCAGTTAGTTATCTCAATATATTTTGTATATACCCAAAGTCCTCTTTTCATTTGGTTTTCTCTTTCTAGTTGACCATAATCTTAGCTCCCTGTTCTTGTTGTCTCTCTTTTACGCTTCCCTCACTATGACTTTTAACTCGGTACTTCATAATTCATATGCCCTTACTGCATAGGCTATTTAGAGAACTGTTTCTTGCAACCACTTTTCCTTCAGTTCCCTAATTTTCCTTTCCTTACTTGCTCATCATATCTCTTAGCCAATATAGATAGGTCTTAGCCTATACTTAACATGTCAAAGCTGCTTTCTCCTTCACCACGTTTCTTGTTTTTTTGAAAAGAAAATGGGAAGGGGAAGCATAGATTGCTACATCTATTTCTACCTGAACACTAATTCCCTCCAAGGTCTAGTAGCTTTTATGTCTGTATTAGTTGTGTCAGTTCTCTGCTTCAGAATCCTACCATTTCAATGTTAAAAATCCATGTGACTGGAAAATAGTTGATCTGCCAAGCTCTGTTCTCAAGGTGAGTATACATTACTTCATTTTTTTTAAATGTATTAAAGTGCTATTTAGGTCAGTTTGGCACATTTTATTTGGCTGAAGCTGCTGACTTGATGAAAATGTTTGTTATGTCAAAGGTTACTTAATGTGATCATTATGATGAAAAGTAGAACAAGTCAATAAGAGCTGCCAAACAGACCTTGATATTAATGCTCCACTAACATGTTCATTGTTATTTTGCTTTCATGTTGGCAGCTCTTGTAAGGTGATTGGATGGACAGAAGTTGTTGATTTGGCTGTGTTACTGTACCCGACTGCGTTCTTGTTCTGGCTAGTGTTGTTGCTTGGTCTGTTTGTTACTTTATTCCATTTCAAGTTGGTCTGGTGGTGATCACTTACGGCGGTGTTTTACTCGATTATTCGTGTAATGCACAATTGTCACGTAACTGGTGTGAACCTCTTATTTCGAATGTCATACTCTCTATGTTCTTGTTGGGTTTAGACTTTGAGACCGAGTTAGTAATCTATCAATCAAATGGATAATGTTGTCTTTGTTGGTATCTGGATGCCTTGTTTGACTTCTGCTTTCTGTTTACTGTTGGGATTATTAATTTGAGGTTTTTTGTGCCACAATTTTAGATGCTTGGCTTAACTGTTTGTGTTTCTGGAATATGGTTGACGCATCCAAAGTGGAATTAGCTTTTGTCTAAGCCAGAGTGTAGGAAGCTTTATGTTTTTACGCTTTGGCTTGGACAGTTGGACTTTAGGCCTACTTGATTTTCTGTGAATTTCTGTTTGCCATACTCAGGATGCAATTTCACCTCGCTCACTTAAGTTCATTCCAATGGGTGATTAGGGGTGAACAGACAGGGTTAGATCCGGTTCCTGTTCTAGTGGGGCCAAATCTCATTATCAAATACTTCACTTTCTGGAACTATATTTGGATCTCTTGCAGGTGCTGGTGCGGTGTGGGTCTAGACGGTTGGTAATGGTCTGAGTATATATATACGGAGTATATACTTTTACATTATTATATGATTATAATACTTCAGTCCCATGAGACGTGGTCAAACTTTTTTTTTTGGTTTTAAAAAAACTTTGCTATTTTCATTTGAAGTACTACGTAATAAATATGTCATTTGAAGTTGGTTTTCTCTTTTGCCCACATCCAATGCCACAATGTGCATCGCGCACATGTGACGTGAGAAATATACACACAAACATTAATAAGCAACATAATTTCTCCTTATTTGAACGCTTTTATTTGTTTTTTGCAAGAGTTTCTTCACAATGTTAAGAATAATGCCCAGATGTAGAAATTGTGCATGATATCATTACCAAAATTCTTCACAATATCCTAGCATTGAAGATGTTCTTATTTATTTATGAGGTTAGTACTTGTTTTTCTTTGGATTGGACAGTCAATTTTGCATTAGATTTATATTTTATTTTGCAATTCAATAGTTTTATTATTGTCTCCAAATATATAAATTTCAAAAACTAATGATAAATATTAAAATGGTTACATTGTAATTAAAGTTTAATAGTCTATGAATATATATGCAGAATCAGAACAACACATGAGTTGGGCTGGCTCATGTTCTGGACTCTGGTGTGGTCAAAAGGCAGCTAGGATCCGACTCGGTTTTAGAGTCGGAATCGGATCCACCCTATGCATGATCTGATTGGGAATCTGTAGGGTCTGGTTCGAGTCTTTGCCCTTAAGATATGTTTTTTATTCTCCAATTTCATTACTCCGTATTTTAGTTTGAATCTTACTCATTTCCCATTTGAACTCATACTTAAATGCATTTTTACGCAATTATTACTCAGTATGTTAGTTTGAATATTACCCATTTTCCATTTGAACTCTTACTTAAATGCCTTTTAACCAATTATAAATTTATAATCTGTATATTATGAATATTACTCATTTCCCATTTTATACTAGGACTGAAATGAAAACTGAGTTTAGTTCAGTAGTTGCTTCGTGCCTTCGTGGTGGTCCCATTGAAATGTTTTAAAATATTTTATTTATTAGATAAGTATGTTCGTATTAGGGGTGTTTGGAATTGATTTTGCTTCTGCTTCTTTTTTAAAGGAGAAACAGAATCAGAATTAGTTTTCAGAAGCTGGTACCCCCCAGCTTCTAAAAAAACTGATTCTAGGAGTAAATTAGAGCACCAGAATCACTTCTTCATTTTCACCCAAACACTCCAACTTCTGCTTCTGCTCCCTGAAGGAGGAGAAACAGTTTTAAGAATCGGATCCAAACACCCCCTTAATTGTTCACAATATGCGTAAATTATAAGAGATACGCCTGACTTAAATAGATTTTTAATTTGTAAAGAGATACTCTCTCCGTCCCAATTTGATAGTTTCATTTCTTTTGGGCACAAGTTTTAATAAAGTGGTTGAAAAGGTAAAAGTTTTGGTTGAGATTTGAGTATAATAAAGTGAAATAATATGAATCACATCTTTCTTTTCAAAAAGGGGAATATGACATCATTTTGGGATATCCCAAAAAGAAAATACAGGACTATCATTTTGAGACGGAGGAGTATTCAATTTGTTTGGTTTCAGTTCCAAATTCAATCAGACAATATTTAGATGTATCAACTAGAGATAGTTGAAAATGCATATTGAACATGCATTTGGTGCGGATCCAGCTGAAGTTGATCATTTCTCTTCTGGTTTGATGTTTTTTTTATTACTACCTCCGTTCCAATTTGTTTTGCAAGATTTCCTTTTTGGATCGTTCCAAACTGCTTTTCCACTTTCCATTTTAGGTATAGAAATATGATTAAAGTTACTTGCCCTTGCTCCTGCCTTCTAATCCGCCACCCACCCATCCACTTATTAATTCCCACCCATCTCTCTCTTATCACTATCCCATCACTTTTATCCCATCTTTCTCCCCATTTTCAAGTTCTCAATGGCCAGATTCCTTACCCTTTTCAAGATGAAGACAGACAAAAAGGAGGCTCCGGCTCAGGGAAGAATCAGCACCTGACCTTCCTTGGTTGGTCCATGAGCTCCGTCTTTGCCCTTTTCCGCCGCCGCGCTACCCTCAGACAACTTCACAAATCAGTCGCTGCCACCATCGTTGAACCATCTACTTGCGACAGGGGTCGAATCGTTGAAGCTACGGGAGAGGTTCCTGTCCGACAGAGACTAGACGAAAACATATGGGGACTCTTGATGTCCATTGGGCGTGTTCATATGAAGATACAAGTTTTCAAGGAAGGAGATGAGTATATTGGCCTCATTCAAGAAAAGTGTAGCAAAGTTTGGATAGTTCAAAAGTGTAGAAATGTAAGTATTTTTGTAATGGTAAAATTGAAGTGTAGAAAATTAGAAATTGGGCAGGGGCGATTGGGAAGAAGTATAATTATCTTTTATTTTGGAAAATCAATGGTAAAGTGAATTTTTATCCCTACACTTCTTTAATTCCCGTGCTGATCAAAGTTTGCACCTCAATTCGAGACGGAGGGAGTATCATCTTACAAAGCTATCAAATGACACTTGTATCTCTTGTTTTAATCATGAAGTACACGGAATCACGAATAGAATTTATTCCTTCGCTTGTGAAATATCTTAAAAAAAATCGTGATAATTCACTCCAAATAATCGATGAGTCTTCGTCCAAATGATTGTGAAATATCAAAATATCTTAATCGATGAGTGCTTGTGAAATATCTTGATCGATGAGTCTTCATCCAAATAATTCACTCCTTCAATTAACATTAGTTTTTGAAACCTCTGCCTTCACCAAAATAACTTTTTATCGTAGGCCACCACCTTCAATAATTTTTCATTTAAATGTTTTTTCATACATTTTGACACATTATAAAATAGGTGCAATAACGGATGTTTGGATCTGATTATTAAAACTGATTCTACTTCTTCAAGAAGCGGAAACAGAAGTTGGAGTGTTTGTGCGAAAGTGCAGAAGTAATTTTGGGTAAAAAAGAGTTTGAGTACTGTTTTTTTTAATGGGTCTTGAGTACTAAAATTTGAGCCACACAATGAAGCAAAACGTTACCATGTTTATTTTTATTAAACAATTTGATATCGATCTACACATACATGGGGAGGTAGAAAGTCAAAAAATACAAATAAGAAAATTGCAGACCTCATCTACATACTATGCGGCAGATTTCTTGATCAACTTCATGTCATCTCTCAGCTGATCATACTAAATAATATTAATAATAATGATGATGATATCTCACAAATCCAGTCTTAGAAAAGTTGAAAAAAAGAATGACACCTCATCCTTGAGTGTCCCCGAACATCGATCGGACAGTTAGATGAGAAATTCTTCTTGTTCATGATATTATACTAAGTATAAACAAATGGCACACTATTGATATTATTGTATCAGAAACTCTGATTCTCTCCAAGGTCATCTTCCTCTTTGTCTTCATTTCATCAATCCAATTTCTTTGCCGAGGACCGGCCGCTGCAAAGTCATGTTTAAACTTTTAAATTAAAATACCCTCCTACTTATAGGCCAGAAATATTAGGTTGATCCTAAACAAAAAAATTTTTTTGCTCAACATGTCCAAGATGAGGAGAAACTTAAGCTTAAGATGTGATCCACTTGGACCACTTCCAAATATCTACATGTCCAAGTTACATTGAATTGCTCATTTTCAACGTAACAGGCTTGTACTCCTTTGCTCAAAAAAATTTTGTCAACTTATAATCCCAAAAAACTACTCATATATCTTTTCAATTTATAGCAATAAATATGTAGTTAAAGTTACTTCTTTCTCACCTATACAGAATTTCATCACACAATTTATAATTTCTTATTTCATGTGTGAGTCAGTTGTGGACAAATTTTATGGGATGAAGAGAGTGTATTAAATGCAAAGCTCGTTATCATATACTCTTCATTTGTCAATTTTTTATATCAAACACTAAGTTATTTATTCCGTGCGTTGAATAGTGAAAGAAGAAAATTATTAAACATAAAATTAATTGGAAAAATTGACAAGAATAATCCCACCTTTCACTGATCTTCTCATAATAATCCTACCTTTACATAATCCCAAAATAATCCCACCTTTGCACCCTATCTTCTTTCATTGGACCCTGACCAAGTTTTTTACCTTTCTTTGAAAATCTTATATAAATAATCTCACATTTATAAAGATATAATAGAAAAGTGAGAGGTAAGATTATTTATATGATTTTCAAAAAGAGAGTAAAAAACATGGTCAGGGTCCAATGAAAGAAGATGGGGTGAAAATGTGGGATTATTCTGGGATTACCTAAAGGTGGGATTATTATGAGAAGACCGGCGAAAGGTGGGATTATTTTTGTCAATTTTTCCAAATTAATTTTCACAAGTGAGCAGATTGATCTAATTCAACCATTTCAACCGGAATTTAAGGAAGTACGATAGATTCAGTTAATTGAAGCAATTACATACTATCAATCGAGTTTTAAAGTTATAGTTTAGGAGGTGTTTGGATTTGATTCTTAAAAATGCTTCTGCTCCTTCAGGGAGCAGAAGCAGAAGTTGGAGTGTTTGGGTAAAAGTGAAGAA